TGCGGTGGTGAACTTGGGGTTGCACAGACTGGCTGCGAAGGCGCAACTGTTGGAGCTTGTGGACAAGCATGCTGCGTTGCATGGTGATGAGGGTGAGAAGGTGGAGGGGAGTGGCGAATCGGAGGTTCGTCAGCAGATTGTCGACATCTCGACCAACACCAACGTGATTTCACCCTTCACCTGCTTCGTCTGTGTCGACCCGGACAAAATAGGTGAGGTGGAATGCGTGAAGTGGTAGTAGTAGTAGTAGTAGTAGAATTGGTAGTAGACGTAATTGTCGTGGCTGCAGTGGTAGTAAAAATGACAGTAGTAATGGTAGTGGTGGACGATGGTCGCGCTCTGTTAGTATTAGTAGTAGTGGTAGTAGCAGTAGTAGGGTAGTAGTAGTAGTTGTTGTTGTTGTTGTTGTAGTAGCAGTAGTGGTCGTAGTAGTGGTAGTGGTAGTGGTTGTTGTAGTAATTGTAGTGGCTGCGGTGGTAGTAAAAGTATCAGTGGCGGTGGTAGCGGTGGACGATGGTCGCGCTCTGTTCCTTACAGGTTGGAGGACAGGACTGAGTACTCTGCAGCACATAAGATTGTGCTCAGTGTTCTACTGCAAGTCTTGCCCACACCTGGAAATATATGGGCTCATGCCAGTTGCTCATGTAACAGTTGGTATGAGACATCGGTGACAGCAGATTATTTCTTTTCCAGAGTCCGGCTGACTTTGCTTATTAGCCCCGTGTTGATATTTAGATCCTTCGCATGGACAGTTTTTATTTTTGATCTTTTTACGTCATTTTGGAGTATTTTGGGGAACATTAATGTGGGGGTTTAATTTTTACTTGAAATCCGACGTTATGCTAAGGCTATGACGCCTGACGCCTGATAGGCGACTCGACATTTCGCCACGTTTCTTCCATGTATCGTCTATTATTCTATGCTCTGTACTGTGTGCCGTCCACATTTAGGTCCTGTGATTTGACTTTGTAGGTGGATAACTCGCACCTTCAATTTACTTCTATTTGCATGGCTTTAGAAACGTGGCATTTCTTTAGCTTTGCCGCACAGACGTTTTGAATTGTACTAACTTTGAATCGTTTATTTTAGCTGGCCACTTACCACGCACCTCATCTCATGCGTTTGTGGTTTCTGACGTGTGTGCTTTCGGTAAGCACACGCGAATATGAAGGCCTGTTGCTTCACTTTTGTTTAAACATTACACACTCATTACTGTTCTATATTATAGCCGAATGTATGAGTAAGCATTTCCCTTGTAAAGTGTAAAAGTATACTTTTAATATTTTAACATTGTCATTACTCACTAGCAGTGCAGTGACTTGTTTGTGGCACAGTTGATAGGGCTGCAGGTCATCTATTGCTCATTTTAAAAACTAAAAGTGAGAGCTTACGAATTGTTGAATACTTTGCCTTCTGTTACACAATGATAGAGATTTTTAAGAAATTGCCAAATGTGCGTTTTGATAACTGTTGACTTTTGATTGCTTTTTTTTAGTGGACGAATGTGATGCAGGTTAGTTGTGTGTGTTGGTTATGGAAACACCTCT